ATCTGTTGCTTTAATGTTTGTTTTATCACATTATTTTTGTACGGTTGTTACCTGCCTTGGACACTGACATGCTCAGGAGAAAGGCAAGCACATAAATACTTTAAGTAAAAGAAATTTGAATTAATTCACTTGATGGCAAAATTTGTGGGATTTGGTGCAAAGATGTAACAACAACAACAATACTTAGTATTTGGATTTTTATGTCTTTGGCATTTTGGACTAGTGTGAATGGGCCAATCATTAGGTTTTTCCACTACAAACTTGATGCATGGGTTTAACAAAAGAAGCTAAATGGTCTTTAATGACCCACAATTTCTTCCTTAGCCTTTGGAATGCAATACTGATGAATTTGGGAGGATCGTGCCTTGGTGTTTAGTCATGCCGGCCACATGACCACGGAAACGTCTTCGGACAGCGCTGGCTCTTCGGCTTTGAAACGGAGATGAGCACCGCAACCCTAGAGTTGGATTCGACTGGCTTTTGAGCAAGGGAACCTTTACCTTTTTAAGAGACAGGTGGAAGAGGGTTGGTGGGGCTGCAGTGTGAATATGGACAGAGAGATAGTGAGCTTTTAACTGGCACTCTTTGAACTCTCTCCAACTGCAACTTGAGTGGACTGAAAATCTAGATATTAGTATTTAGTGGGATTGCCCCATCAGTCTACATACCCATTGTATTAACTTGGTTACGTATTTTATAGTATTACATACTTCCTGTGTGCAAGCTGCCCTGAACCTTGGTTGCAAAGAAGGGCGGCCTAAGAATTTAAATAAATAAATAAATATTAAGTAATCAAAATGATGAAAATGGAGGTATCTTAGGTAAGGTTGCCAGCCTCCAGGTGGGGCCTGGAGATTTCCTGGAATTACAATGGATCTCCAGATAACAGAGACCAGTGCCCACAGAGAAAGTGTCAGTTTTGGAGGGTGGATTCTCTGGCATTATACCCCACTGAGGTCCCTCACCTTCCCAAAACCCGCCCTCCCCAGGCTGCATCCCCCAAATCTCCAGGAATTTCCCAACTCAGACTTGACACCCCTAAATTCTTACAGGTATAATTATTCATTAGAAATCTGATGCAGCGACTGGCAAGAGAGAGAGGAGCGCTACAATGTCAGGGCAGGAAGACTTGCCTTCTGAGCCAGTTTGGTGTCGTGGTTAAATGCACGGACTCTAATCTGGGAGAACCGGGTTTGGTTCCCCACTCCTCCACTTGCACCTGGCTGGATGACCTTGGGCAAGCCGTAGTTCTGATGAGAGCTGTCCTTGAAAAAGAGCAGTTTCTGTAAAGAGCTCTCTCAGCCCCACCTACCTCCCAGGGTGTCTGTTGTGGGGAGAGGAAGGGAAAGGAGTTTGTGAGCCACTCTGAGAGACCTTTGGGTAGTGAAGGGCAGGTTATAAATCCAATTTCTTCTTCTTCTTCTATTACAAAGGAGGAGAGATTTAAAAGCCACCACTGAAAAGCTAACTGCCTTGAACATTCGATATAGATGGATAGGCGCTTTGAAACTACAAGTGTCGCTCAATGGGAGGAATTACTATGCATCTGATGCTGACAGTGGTCTCGGTTTCCTTCAAGCTTTAAAGATCAGTCTGCCTCGAGATGAAAATAGGCGGAACAAAGGAGGCTCGTCTCACGGCATGACATGGACCCCTCCATTTAAAGAGGCAGCGAAACAATGAAGGATCTTCACTGCAACTCTCCAACCACACAGGACACATGCACCAACAACATTATGACAGCCATCATATTATGGCAATTGGAAGCCTTTTTATTGCAAGTGCACACTATTATTGTTAAAACATCTGGTAACAGCAAACTGTTTATTCATGAGGTGTTATAAACCACTTAGGAACATAAATATTAGCTTATATACTATAAATGTTACCTTGTTATGACACGGTTATATAATTAATAATAAACATGGGGTATGTAATATACGGCTATATAGAACCATTATAATTTTCATATCAATTATACACCTTTTGAAAAACAAAACAAAAAAATCTGATGTAAGATTAACAGCTGTGTGGTCTGCCCTAGGAAACTGTTCCTCCTCCCCACAGTGAGCTCTGCGTGTATATTTGTGAATGAAAAGATAGTACAAAGATTCCATATGTTTTGTGAGCTCTCTTTCATCCAAAGGAGAATAAACTTGTGCCACTGCCATCAGATTTGTCATCCTTCTGGGATGGGTATTGCTATGTATTGGGACTGAACCATTCTAGGTATGTCACACCAGAGACTGGCTGAGCTTGAAGCACAAGAACAATAGCCTACCAGGACTTTGGAAGTAACCAATCTAGTAGTAATATTATGTAAACAGCCTATCATTGGGAGTGGGGTGTGTTTGGGTGTGGCAATTGCATGCTATTTAACAGAGCTGCGGCTCTGGGGTCTTGTCTTACTCTTGCTGAAATCACAAATAAAGTTGAGCTGATCACTGGACTCGAGCCTGCTCATCCATGGAACCCACGATTTAACAGGTATGAAGTCCTTAGTAATATGCAAAATTTTGAAATGTGGCTCATTAAAAATGAACAGGGGAAAAAACCAACAGTGAAGTCAGAAGGCAATGAAATACAAAAGCTAGAATCTGAGACATTTCTGTGCAAAGCTCAATTGTATATCATTGCCCAGTCACCATTTTCAGTGACTGGGATAGCAAAACCTTCCTAGACTTGTTAGGCTGACTTAACACCTGTAGTGTGGTAGGAATCCTTTGTCTTTAATCAGTCCCAACAAGACAATGTATATTTGTTCTTGAATTAATACAGTAATGCCATGCCAATTATTTATACGTGTACATAATGAAATATAATAGTGTAAGTTACTTTGAAGCTAGCTATTTCCTTGATGCTGAACACGTAAAGAACTCTTACAGACAGGCTACATTGTGCTACCTCTACAAACTGTTGTTCCAATGCAGTATAGTGAGTTCCTTCTGTTGGAAAAATTGGCAGAAATACTTAAATATTCAGAGTTTGCAATGGATCTTTGCTTCACTGGAGAGGAGGGAATCCTTTCTGTGTAAAAATCTTTATTTCTAAGGGAAAGGATACACAGGAAAAGCTACAAAATAAAAGAACTAAGGCTACATCTCTACAGCTTTACAGAACAGACTGACCACACAGTCTCACAACAACAACTGTAATGGAGATTATTATTATTATTGACTCCTAGAAGGAAATCACCTGAATATATTAACCCATGATTGTGAGTAAACTGATTTTGCAGGCTTTGTTTTCATTGGCTCTGAGTCAGGTTTCCCTTCCAGGTCAGTCTAAACAACAGAACACAAGGTAAACAGGTTAACCCTATAATGACTGAATTAGACCTTGCAACACACACACATTTCCAACACCACCTCTGCTCAGATGTGCCCTTTTTAGTGTTAACAATCAGAGGGATCCGACATTTTAAAGGTTTCTATTAATTTCTTAGTGTCAACAAAGCACTATATTTAATTCAGGTTCAGGTTTCAGTTTATTGTCTTTAGCCATAGGCCGTTACAATGACAGAACAATATAACAATAATATCTATATAAACTTCTAAAACCAGAAGAATTAAAAACTAAGTTAGGACACAATAAAGCATTATAATAATTCTCTCTCCCATCCAGACTTCCATTGGTAATCAAACTATGGTACACTATATTTAATTATTTATTATGTAGTCCTATCTCCCATGAAAATCAGGGACATATATGATGTACTTAAGTAGGCATTTGACCAGATGAAGACTTACATAGCTTCAATAAAGTTGCTATTACCTTAATAACATGGGATTTTAATTTAGCCACCTTTAAGAATTGTATTAAAAGTCATGTTTACATATTTTAATAACTATCATCCCTATGGTGACAAATTTTAATTACTACATGTTTTACAGAGTATAAAGCCTTACTATTTGCTGTTTTACCCATCATAGGTAACAGTCACTGATAGATCTCTCCTTCATTTTTCTAATCCCATTTAAAACATCAGGGCTGCAATCCTAAAAACACTTTCCTAGAGTAAGACAATTGAATAACATGGGACTTAGCTCTCAGTGGAGCTTCTTGGGATAGCTCCCCCCAGCTAGTAGCCATCACTAAATCTTACAGAAGTTATGTTTAGGGTGTATTTTGTACTCTGTGTTATGTTTAAGGAGTATTTTTTCTATCCTGATTGTACTGCCTGTAAATTGCATTAGATAACCTCACGTTTTGGTATTACGAGAGAGAAAAAGGAAATTTAATTTACACTTGCAAAACACATCTTTCTTCCTTTCTTTGCATGTTCTTTCGGCACAACGAGTTTACTTTCAGCTTTCCCTAAGCTTTTTCTTTAGAACGGCTCAGGCTACACCAGCCGAACGCTTGCATCTGAATGCCTGAAGGGAGGGGAGGGAGGCCGCACGGGGGACCGGACTTCACAGGCCTATTCCTAAATAAACACATTTACTTTATCGAATGTGAATTTTACTGTTTCACATTATCAGAATGTGAATCCATAAACTTAATAAAATATCCCCAAATTAAAAGTACTAAAGTTAACAAAATATAGACACAACAACAAAAGAGCGCTTTGAAATTTGCGGGAAAAACAAGAACCCTCGTTTCCTAAAATTAACAACGCGCCCTAACTGAAAAAGTGCTGAAATTAACAAAATGCTAATATTTTTTTTTAAAAAAAAACCTCGCTTTGGGCGGAAGAGATTTTATTTCATATTCTCTAAAACAAACAAAATGTAATTTTGTTTAACGGGTGCGTCTGCTTTGACCGGGGGGGGGAGAGAATAAAAGGACAGCAAACCCCCCTCTAAATAATAATATTTGGCTGTTTTGGCGGACTCTTCCTTCCGCGACGGTGCGAACACTCTGGTTTCTACCGACTCTATTCTCCTCCTCCTGAAAGTGTTCCAGTTCAAGGCGCTCTGTTCCCTTGCTTTGCCTCCTACTCTATTTGCCGTCACTTGACCCGGAAGCGGAAGCTCGGTGGAGGACGACGACGAGAGGGAGGAAGGGCTCACATTTCCGCCTCCCGCTTGCTTGTTTGCTGCCTGCCTGAAGACTGGTTTTGGTGCTGGGATAGAGGCGACGCTGGTGGCCCGGGCTGGGGCTGCGTGTGCCGTGTGAAGAAAGACCCCCTTGCTCCATCATCAGGTGAGGGGTCGCCCTTACTCGCCCTCCTGCCCACGAGGCCTGCGTGGAGTTTCCTGGGCTGGGGGACAAGTTAATGATAGCCGTATGCAGGTTCCATATCTAGAGGCAGTCTACCTCTGAATTCCAGGTCGCTGGGGCAAACAGCAGGGGAGAGTTGTTGCGTTTATCCCTTGATTGTGGGCTTCCTGGAAGCAACTGGTTGCTGTACTAAGTCAGGTCTTATCGTGGATCGGTTGACTTTGGTAGTTAAATGGGACGTCCATCTGTAGAGGGAGTTTGCCTCCGAATGTGAATTGCTGCCCTGGGAGCCTTTTTTGTGCCTTCATGCCTTTTTTGTGAGTTTCCTGGAGGCATCTGGGCTGCTGTAAGCAGCTGGACTAATGGATCTTTATCCTGATGCAGCACCACAATTCTGATTAAAAAATTGAAGTACCTGTAATGTGTGTGTCAGAAGCTATTAACTATGAGTATTAAGAATGGGATGTCCACATGCCAAGACAGCATAGATTTGAAAAGTAGGTTGGGTTACAGGATACTGGATTTCCTTCATGCTCTGTTTATAAACTCCCTGGAAACTTCTGATTGTTAAAAATAGGGTGGAGGACTAGATGGACCTTTGGCCTGATCCAGCAAGGTGATTCTTGTCTTGTTGTAAGGCTTGAGTTGCTTTCCTTGTAAACTTGTTTCTCAGCAAGTATTAATAATGAGATCTAATAATGGCGCCTCCATGCACAGAGGCAGTTTACCCCTGAGTTCAGGGTGCTAGAAATAGTCAGGTGTTGCTTTCCTGTCCTGCTTGTGGAATCATGGCTGGTAGGATGCTACACTAGATGGGTTCTTGGACTGATTTAGCCAGGATTTTCTTAACAATGATCTTGAGCAGGTCCCAGTGCTATGGGAGAGGAAAAGGGGAGAGAAGGGAGGGAAGTTATTAGTGATTATAATTAAATGTTGTTCTTGCTTTGGTGCTTACCTTCTCCTTTATTTTGGTCCACTGTTTAAAAAACAACAACCCAGGATGCTGTGCTATGTAGATGTTTGTTTCATCAAGAAGGGCTGTCCTTACATTACAATAATAAATTTTCATATAGTGTATTTTAAAAGTTCTGTGTCATTTGTGTGTATGTGTGTTAACTTAATTATTCTTACTATGACCCTGTAAGGTAGGTCAGAATACCTAGTCAATATTGCATGCGAGGGTGACGGAGAGAAAGGGGGAAAGTGTTTTGCTAGATTCATAGTAGAAGGGAGACTTAACCCAGGGACTTCTGGTTCACAGCTCAGTCTGTTACCTGTTATGCTGTGGCAGCACATTAATTGAGGAGGAAACCCAAGCTTGAATTTTCAGACCTTTTGACTTGTTGATCCCATTTGGTGGGGGAAGGGTGGAGATAATAGAGGACCACGATGTGTTCTGATTGCAGTCTTGCATTCATCTCCCTCTATTTATTATGTATTGATTACGTTTATATTCTGCCTCTCTTCGTTGAAGTCAGGGTGACGTGCCTAATAGTCCCAAGTGGTCTGTCGTTCAGCTGCTGATCAGATTTAGACTTGCTTTGCTTCATGTACCTTACAGCTATTCCTCTGACTTCTTTGTGTTCTTCTACCCAACTATGGAGCCTTCCTGAAGTGCATCCCTGTGATTCCCATCCTCCCCTGCCTAGAAATCATGGCATGTCTGTGACAGACAGAAGGCTGAACTGCCTCTGAAGGAAAAAACAGCCACTCACTTGAGCCTATGGGGGTGCTGCTCCAGCATCCAGTCACCTCTTGGGGGGGGGGGGGGAAAGTTGGAGGGAAACACCACAGGAGTTGAGTTTAGTTCTGCCTCAGGGATTGAGCAGTGAGAGGTCAGGTCTGGCTCAGGGAGAGAGCAGACAGAGTAAAGAGTAGCTCTGCTTGGTAGTGTGGCAGAGTGGTTTGGCCCTGCTTCTGACAGGGAATAGTGGACCCGATTGTTACGCATGTCTCTGCCAATGAGCAGACCTTTTGCAGTTTAGTCTGACTCTTGGGAGAAGACAGCCTGGTGTGGGTGGAATCCTATGTGGTTGTTGAAATCTAGTCTAGTGGCTAATCGGTAAAAGCCTGTTTATGCTTGGAAGTATTAAAGAAAGTTGAAACTACTCTCTACATTGATGCGCCTCAGCGAGCTTTCTCTTTTGTCTGTCTGCAGACCTCTGCTGCTGATCTGTTCCTTGAAACCTACTTGTAAATAAATAAATCTTCTTTGTTGTTCATATATAATTCCTACCTCAGTGACCTCCATACTGTGCACCACAGAACTTATCTCACAGCAGTAAACCCAAAGCCCTAGATGCTTGCTACGTTTAGAACCCCTGCCATCTGAGGGGAAGATTTATAATTTGAAATAAGTCTCTAACATAAATTGTTCTTTGGGGGCTTCACATATTTATCAGTTTGAAGAATCAGAAGGCTCTTACTTAACGCTCCTGAAAATCTTTTTTAGAACTCCTCACTGTATTTCATTGTGGGGGAGGGGGGTCCCTGTTTTGTTCCTAGAGGCGGTGCTTAATTATTATTAATGCTTTAAAAGTTCTTGCAGAAGAGTTTGCAGTCAGCAGGCCTCCATTTCACATGAGAAGCACTGAATCAAAAAGGTGCTAAAGACTTTTATTAGTACAGTCTGAGATGTTAACTCTTACATGTTATTGGAAAGGATAGTCTTCTCGTTCTGTGCTGCAGGCAGCTCTTGTTAGAGGTTGTGGAGGATATGGTAGATTCATAAGGGAATTAGATAAGCATATGGAGCAGAGGTCCATCAGTGGCTATTAGCCACAAGGTATAGATAGGGGCTCTGGGGCAAGTGATGCTCTGTCTTCTTGATGCTGGGGGGGGGTCAACAGTGGGAGGGCTTCTGATGTCCTGGCCCCACTGCTGGACCTTCTGATGGCACCTGGTATTTCTGACCACTGTGTGACACAGGGTGTTGGACTGGATGGGCCTTTGGCCTGATCCAACATTGGTGTCTCTTATGTTCTTATAATTATGCTACCAGTTTCTCTGAGCCTGTGGGATAGGGTGGACTATAACCACAAACAAAGCATCAAACAGTAACTGAACAAGAAATGCATCTACAAAATACTGTATGCTTCAATCAGCAAAAGGGTAGCCACTCCAGGAAGATGTAGATTTCTCAACCAAGTGTTCAAAAGGATTTAAAGAGCCAGCCTTTAGTCAGCACTGGAAGAGACTTCCATATTCCTCAGTATCTACATCACATTTGTTGATACTTGGGGGAGCCAGGCAGGTGGGGATTTTTCCAGCCCTTATCTGGGCGGTCCTGAATAACTGCAGGATACAAACAACCCAGTATCAGAAGAACATCCCAAAACATCCACACAAAGAAAGCAGTTCGACTCTCTGGTTCCTTTCTCTTAAGAACAGTGATCCAACAACATCCTTACTTTTGCCCTATGAAGCATTAATGATATTTACAAAGCACTGCAGTCAACGCTCAGTATAATGGGTGTGAGTCACACTCACACACACTTGCAAGAATCTGAGGCCAGTCAGACTAGAATTAAATTTATGTATATCAGAACAAGCTGATTTCAGCTATAGGTTGAGCATGTCCCGGTCTGAAATAGCTCAAAGGATAAAAAAGGGAAACCCCAGTTGGTCTGCACACTAAAGCCCAGGTTGCACCTAAGGTACATGCACAGATCCAAAAATAGCATACCTTAGGAACCTCCTAGTTTGAACAAAAATATCGTATAGTCCCTCCAGGTTTGGCAAGTGCCCAGGAGAAGACATTTTTTCCAAGATTGACTTCAGGTGCCTGACTGGGTCCCTGAGTGTGTTTGTGTACCTGACTGAATGTGGAAATTGTTCCCTATCAGCCTTAATGGCTGTGGTGGAGGAAATCTCTTTGGTATGAAGAACTTGGTCTGTTTAGAGCTTTGTACATTTCCACCAACACTTTGGATAGCAGTCTTGGAGGCTGTATGACACCTGTGTGTGCGTATGGATGTTACCTGATGACCCAGCATTTTAGAAAGGGGGCTGCGATGTTGTGTACCATTTGAAGCTCCTGAACGATCATCACCTTGCATGTGAATCTAACTGCAACCATCACTAAGGGCTGCAACACGGAACAGGAAACTGATGGAAGAGGCAAAGCCAGTTGGGGTGCAGGCTAAGGCTCTGTCATGGTTTAGAGGTTTCTCAAGTTGAGCAGTAGCAACTATGATGTGCTGACCCTTTTCCCACCTCTCTTTCTCCTAGGTTCAGGAAGCAGAGCTGCAAGAGCTGCACCGTCAAGCTGCCCAGCCATTTCTTCTGCCTGTTCCCCTCCCAAGACCATCTGATCAGTCGTAGCCCAAACATGGGCATCTTCAGCAGTGGCGTCATCCCTGTGGAACAGCCTTCCAGAGGAGGTTAGGAGGGTGCCCGCCTCAGCAGACGGCAAGAAGCACTGCAGAGCAGTATTGTTTGGGAGGGGCCATTGGTGTCTGTTCTAGGGAGTTGTGCTCTATGAGCTGTTTAGTTACTATTCTGTTTTTAAGAGCCAGTTTGGTGTCGTGGTTAAGTGCACGGACTCTAATCTGGGAGAACCTCCACTTGCACCTGGCTGGATGACCCTGGGCAAGCCATAGTTCTGGCACAGCCGTTCTTGGAGAGCACTTTCTGTCAGAGCTCTCTCACAGGGTGTCTGTTGTGGGGAGGGGAAGGGAAAGGAGTTTGTAAGCCGCTCTGAGACACCTTTGGGTAGTGAACGGCGGGGTTTAAATCCATTCTCTTCTCTTCTTCTTTTAACTGGTCTTGCATTGTGCCTGTTTCAATTATGTATACTGTTTAGATTTCGTAGATATATATTTAGATATGTTTTATTAAATTAAACTGACAAACATAGAGTAGACTTGCAGATGTATCACCTGATCCGAACTCTGCTTCAGATATGTAAGTAGCCACTTGCCTGCAGTGAGGCATTACGGCCTCTGGGCAAGCAGGCGAGGCCTCCCTGCATATGCCAGAACAGGGTTGCTCCTTCCCCTTCCCTCTCATTTATGGGGTGCCATCAGGAACTAATAACAGTCCCCCCCCCACCCTAAGTCTGTGATTTTTACTTTTTTGTTTTCCGCGCTTTGGTTTCCCTTTTTCTGTTGAGGTGCTCAAAGCGGTTTAGTTTTCAGTTCTAAAGCAATAAACAGTAATACATGTTGAGGCCACTGGTCTCTTCAGGAGCTGGTCTCATGAGCATTCTGGCCTGGGTGTTGTCCTCCTTGGGGCATGTGGGTCTTATCAAGGTCCCCCGCTTTCTTGGCAAAGCTGGCCTACTTCCATGCCATGACATGCCGTTTTCTCTTCTCCTGCAGTGCACTGCTAAAGCTGTGATGAGATGGAGCCCGGGACAAATTCTTTCCGAGTGGAGTTCCCCGACTTCTCTAGCACCATTCTGCAGAAACTGAATCAGCAGCGCCAGCAAGGGCAGCTCTGCGATGTTTCTATCGTAGTCCAGGGTCATCTCTTCCGTGCTCATAAAGCTGTCCTGGCAGCCAGCTCCCCTTACTTCTGTGACCAGGTGCTCTTGAAAAACAGCCGCCGAATCGTCCTGCCCGATGTCATGAATCCCAGAGTGTTTGAGAACATCCTTCTGTCATCTTACACGGGGAGGTTAGTGATGCCGGCTCCGGAGATTGTCAGCTATCTGACGGCCGCGAGCTTCCTGCAGATGTGGCACGTAGTGGACAAGTGCACAGAGGTGTTGGAGGGAAATCCGTCCGTCCTTTGTCAAAAGCTGAATCGCAGCAACGACCACCAGTCTCCAAGCAGCAGCAGTTACAATGGCCTCGTTGAGAGCTTTGAGCTGGGAACTGCAGGGCAAGCAGACTTCCACAAATCCCAGGAACTGAGGGATGGTGAAAATGAAGAGGAGAACTCTAAAGATGAGCTGTCGTCTCAGCTAACAGAACATGAGTATCTTCCCAGCAACTCTTCTACGGAACATGACCGGCTGAGCACGGGGATGACCAGCCAAGACGGGGAAGAAGGAGCCAGCGACAGTGCGGAATATCAGTACACCAGGCCCGTCTATAGCAAGCCCAGCATAATGTCTCACAAGCGGTGGGTCCACGTGAAACCCGAGAGATTCGTGCAGGACTGCGAAGGGGTGGAGGTGCACACGGCTTACGATGAGCACCAGGTCTCCGAGTCCATGAACGCCGTACAGGTGGACCACTCGATCCAGACTTCCAGCTCCGAAGACTTCCATGTCTCTGTGAAAAAAGTTGAAACCGAGTTTGAGCAAGCCGATGAAAGCAACTACGATGAGCAAGTTGACTTCTACGGCTCTTCCATGGAAGAATTCTCTGGGGAAAGAACCGACGGGAATCTAAGCAGCCACAGGCACGAAGCTGCAGCCACTGCAGGTTATGGAGAAAGCCTTGATGTGCCCTCAGGAATCAAAGAAGAAAATGCCCTTTCTGGGTTTTCTACAGCTGATAAGCTCTACCCTTGCCAGTGTGGGAAAAGTTTCACACACAAGAGCCAGAGGGACCGCCATATGAGCATGCACCTCGGCCTCCGGCCTTATGGGTGTGGCGTGTGTGGTAAGAAGTTCAAAATGAAGCATCACCTGGTTGGCCACATGAAAATCCACACAGGCATCAAGCCTTACGAGTGTAACATATGTGGGAAAAGGTTTATGTGGAGGGATAGTTTTCATCGGCATGTAACGTCTTGCACCAAGTCGTACCAGGCCTGTAAGGTGGAACAGAACACTACTGAAATGAACTGAAAGGGAGAGCGCATGCAGAGTTGTTCAATAGAGTTGACAGAATGGATACATTGCACAGAGCAGCCCAGGACTTGCTATTCAGAATGGTTCGGTTTAAAATAATTTCTGTGGCATAGATGGGAACACCCATAGAAGTGAGCGGGGATGTCAGCCTCCAAGGCAGGCTTATAGGGCCCGCTGCCAAGACTGCAGATTGCAAAGCCAGCTGGAGCGATGGTACTTTAATGTGGTTATAAATGTTGCTATTTATTGTTTGCGTTTCAATAGCACTTGGGCACTCTCTTCGAAGGGATGCTTGGGACACTGAAGGTTCGCAGAGGCGATGTGTGCGCAGATACTTTGAACACCAGAATTCCACAGCTGGGTGGAAAGTTCATGAATTGCGCTGCTTGGATCAGCCATCCATGATACTTGCATTGAGTTGGCAAAATAGGTGTGTGAAAACAGGTACCTGTCTAGAACCAAAAGGCCGATTAGGTATCTGAAACATGAGCTGCTGAGCGACTTTCAGGTGCCGACAGCTTTAATGAGTCACTGCTCTTTGATCGGTTGAACTTTGAGTTCCATTGATTATCTCTGTTTGTCTTGGCACAGAAGGTCTGCTTCCTAGTTTCTAAAAACTTTTTGTATAGCACTTGGGCTACATTGTGATGAACACTAGGGGACGGAATAAAACATATGCTCATGATTCACCACCTCCCCCTCCCCCCCCCGCCGCTCCCTGTCCCGGTAGTGCCTAATGCAATAGTCAGTCAAGTTTAGCCGTTGCTTTTGGCTGCTACAATAGCAGGTATCATATTTGTTCCCATATAGGCACAAATTTACTTTTGTGGCACTTGAGGGTTAAAGCAGACCTTAGTCTGGTTTAGATTTTTATGCTGTTTAGGGAATCTGCTAACTCGTGGTTCATTTGCCAGTACTTCAGAAAGAGAATCTGTCTACTGATTCTGCCCCAGGGTTTGCAGAATAAGCTAGGGGGAGTACTAAAGTCCTTGCTCCTTTCTCAGAGTTGGAGCCACACGTGGCCTGTTTGTCAGATCTGGGGGATCTACTTGTTGATCAGAAATCAAAATGGCTTTTGCTGGATCCTCCTTGGCGGTGCTGTGCAGACATCTCTGATCCTGAGAGCAGTTCCCGAGCATGGCACTTATCCTCTGCAGAGGATACATTTTAAGCACTGGATTCTTTTTATAACCAGATATGGTTGCACATCTTTGTTTTTTGTGAACTGCAGAGGCTTTTCACTCCCTCTCCCTTTCCCTATCCTTGCCCCAGTTATAGGCTGAATTCACAAGATGGAGGCAAGCTGGTATAGTTAAAGCTTTTAATGCTGCTATTTGATTTGGAAGAAATCTCCCCCCTCCCCTGCCTTTGTTGTGGACAAAAGTGCCATGGGTGGCATCAGCTATGTACATTACCTGGCAGAGCAGTGTGGCTGCTTCCTTAGCAGAATAATTAGCCCGTGCCAAGGGGCCCATCCAGCACCAAGCATGACTTATCTTTCCAATCTGCAGCTTGTATACTGTGAATGGGAGAAATTCAGCGGACCTTTGCATTTTCAAGCTATGTGCATACACCGAGGCAAACAAATGTTTCTGAGGTTGTCATCCTTTTAGCTCAGCTCCCCAGGTTTTAACTGTCTTTTTGCAGATATGCCGTGTCTACAGTATCGAACACCTGACACAAATAGGGGTTTGCCGGAGAAAGATGCTGCAGCTTTCCTTTTGGTGCTTTGCTTGCAGGTTTTGGATTTTGTCCGAGTCTTAAAAGCTCCTCCAGATTGACCAGTATACCAATACTGAAGATATTTTCCTGCCCCTTGGAAGGCAGCTCCCTTAATTTGTCTGCTTCCTTTGCACAACGAATTCCGTTGCTGGCAGTGGGAACTCACACACAGTCAATTGGCAGCACGGTGCTCTTGTCCCCCCTGCCCTGAACTCGGCAGTAGGCCAAGGAGGAAGGGGCAGTTGCTGAGTTAGCCCTGGTGATCAGGGTATCTCAGCACAGGGGTTCTACTTGCTAACACTGTAACCTGCTAAATGTATAGAAGCACTTTGTATTTAAAGACAAATAACAAAGAACCTTTATAAATGTTTTTTTTAATGTAAAAAACAAAAGCTTTATCTATATATATATTCCCTCTGGCTTGTCTTATTCTTGTTGTCTGCTCAAGTTTTGTTTTGAATCTTGGAATTTTAAACCATAAGGGGCTCTTGGTTTACATGAGCATCGAGGTGGAGGGAGCTCTGCTCACAAGGGATGACGTCTGATTTTTAAAACTCCTGCCTGCCTTAGTGTCCCGAGAGGCTGGGTTTTTTGCAAACTTTGGGCTCTGCTGGGGGGGGGGGGATAGGGTTCTTATTTCCGCAGTAATTCCCAACTGTGGCCTCGCATAAGCTTTCCTACACTGCCAGTCTAATGCTAACAAAAAAGAGGCTCATCTCACCCCATTCCGAGTGCCAGCTTTTTAAAGAGAACCTCACTAGCTCTGCACTTGTGCCTTTTAACAGTTGGCAGGAATGTAGAATTTAAGCTGCTGAAGCTTGTTTCTTGCCAGGAAGTGGGAATGACTGGGGAAGGGGAGGGACTTTAAATCCAGTGTGTCAGGTATCTGTCAGAGATGCAGGAGCAGAGCCAGTGGTAACACTGTTACCTTAAGCCTCAGTTCCTCAAAGCCTGCCTCTGAAGACCTTGGGAACAACCCCGGGGGGATTGCTAGCCAAACCAGCTCAGTGCCCTCTTCGAAAAGGACATAAAAAAGTTTTCATTGAAAACTTGAAAATATAGTTAAGGTTGGTTCAGGTGGGTAGCCGTGTTGGTCTGAAGCAGCAGAACAAAGATTGAGTCCAGCGGCACCTTTAAGACGAACAAAGTTTAATTCTGGGTATAAGCTTCCGTGTACAAGTGCACTTCTTCAGATACAGTGAAACAGTTTCCTCAGCCATTGCATATAGGAAGAGAGGGGGGGTGTTAGTTGCCAGGAAGGGCTAGTTAGAGTCAAGATGCGTAAGTAACTCTGCAATTATAGCTGAGATTTGGTTAAAGCGATTGTTAAGGTCTGTGAATGGCAGTAAATTAACATACAAATACAAGCGTTAACAAACAGATGTAAGAATGAAGTTTGAGTCCAGTGGCACCTCCAAGACTAACAAAATTCAATTCTTGGTATAAGCGAGAACTGAGACACGTAGCATGTGTAGATGCACACTCCAGATACAGGGAAACATTTCCTCAAATGTTACATATAGGTGGAGGGGTTTAGTTGTCATGAAGGGCTAATTAGAGTCAAGATGCATAAGTAACTGAGCAATAAATACAGCTAAGATTGGAATAACACATTTGATAAAATGTGAAAGCCACATATTGGCATACAGGTAATAAAGGAGTTAACAACAGATGTGAGAACTAAGTTTGAATCCAGTAGCACCTTTAAGACCAACAAAGTTTAATTTCTGGGTATGTGAGAACTGAATGACTTAGCATGTGTACTGAGATAAGGCGGTATCTCTGTTAAACTCTGGGGTCCTGAGTGTTGTAATAACTTGTAATTCAGCAATCTCCCATTCCAGTGTGTTTCTGAAATTCCTTTGCAATAAAACCTTGATGTTCCCCACTGAGTGCGCTGGGAGGTTGACATGTTCTATAGGTTTCTCAGTTTTGTGATTCTTGATGTCAGATTTGTGTCCCTTTATCCTTTGGCATAGGGTTTGACCTGTTTATCCTATCTAGAGAACTGAAGGGCATTGTTGGCATTTAATGGCACATACAGTGTTAGGAAATGAGCAACTGAATAAGCCTGAGATGGTGTAGTTGAAGTTGTTAGGTCCAGTGATTGTGTTGTCTGGGTGTATATGGCAGCAAAGTTGGCATCTGGGTTTATTGCTAGCTCTTGTACCAGTGTCCATGTTCAAATTAGATGTTGTATTATTGTGGATGAGGAGTTATTTGAGATTGGGGGGCTGTCTGTGCGCAAGAAAAAGTCCCCCCCCCCATACTTGTGAAAGACAGCTGTCATTATCTGGTAGATAGATCCAGGTGGGTAGCCATGGTGGTTCTAAAGCAGTAGAACAAAGTTTGGGTTCAGTAGCACCTTTAAGACCAACAAAGTTTGATTCAAGGTGTGAGCTTTCGTATGCATGCACACTTCTTCAGTTCACACCTTGAATAAAACTTTGTTGGTCTTAAAGGTGCCACTGAACCCAAACTTTGTTCTACATTATCCAGAAGAGGTTGCCTTCCTGGCAACTAACCCTCCCTACCTATATGTAACATTTGAGGAAATCTGTTTCATTGTGTCTGTAGGAGTATGCCTCTACACATGCTAAGTCTCTTGGTTCTTGCTTATACTCAGACTAGCAGTAAAGCCCGTTGTGGAAATAAATACAACGGGATCTAGAAAGAGGCTCTGGGGGAGTGCTCTGGCTTTGGGCAAACAGTGTCATTTTGCTGTGGTGACCTCAGCAGGGTATAATGGCAGAGTTCACTGTTTTCTCCAGAGGAACTGATCTCTGCTCCCTGAAGAGCAGTTGTAATTTTGAGTGATCTGTAGCCCTCACCTGGAAATTGGCAACAATTGTTACCCAGGACGAAATGGCTGGTTTGGAGGGTGGAGTCTATGGCATTCTACCTGTCTGATGTCCCACCCCTCCGCAAACCCCACCCTCTCCAGGCTCCACCCCTCAAATCCCCAGGAATTTGCCAGCCTGGAGTTGGCAACCCCATCTCCTTCGCAGCTAACCATCAACCTACCATTATCTGCCCCTTTGACTTCAGCTGACTTCCGCCCTCCCTTCTGCAGAGCAATTGTAATTTTGAGTGGTCTCCAGCCCTCACCTGGAGATTGGCAACAATGGTTCCCCATGAGGGACTGAGTGGTTTGGAGGGTGGAGTCTATGGCATTGTACCTGTCTGAGGTCCCACCCCTCCTCAAACCTCACCCTCTTCAGGCTCCATCCCTCAAATCTCCAGGAATTTCCCATCGGGAGTTGGCAACCCTATCAGGATTGGCCCCAATATGTTTTCTCCCAAAGGCCAAAGTAGGTGACTGGACCAAACTAAGTTGCCTACCATCAGGCACTGAGGGGAAAGTAGGGTTGCCAGCTATAAGGAGGGAAATACCGGGAGTTTTGGGGGGTGGATTCTGTAGAGGGCAGCATGGGGGGGGCGGGGGCGGAAGGACTCAGCAGGTATAATGTCATAGGGTCTACCCTCCAAAGCAGCCATTTTCTCCAGGGGAAACTGATCTCTGTCATCTGGAGATCAATTGTAGCAGTGGGAGATCTCCAGGTCCCACCTGGAGATTGGCAACCCTAGGGGAAAGTCAGCT